CGGAGCAGACGGCATCGGCCGCCGAGGAAACGTTGGGAAGAGGCACGAGGAGGGCGGCGACCTCGACCGACTATGGAGGACCCGTCACCAGACGACGCAGGGCAGACGACGGGGAGGCGGAGCAGACGCGCAGGGCGAGACGAGGGAGGGAGCAGGATGTTGCTGAGATCAGCAGGAGGATGTACGACGAGATTAGGAGCAGCGGGGACCCGAGGGACCATGTGGAAGACGGCTAGTGCTAGTCCCCAATCGGGAGGACGACCCCGGCTAGTCGCCGACCACACCCACAAAGAACCCTGCACAAAGACCGCAGGGCGGGGACCTGTTCCTTTTTACCCATCTCCTAGTAGAGGTGTCCGTTCTTATTTATTTAAAACGAGAGAGAGAGCGGAAGGAATTAATCTCTCTCTTAATCCGACGACCAGGCCGCAGGCGACTTAAACGAGAGACGACCCCAGACGAGGGTGCTACACCGCCACGCCACGAACGAGGTGACCCTCGGCGGATCTCTCGAACGCGTCCGCATTACCTCCCCCTTTCGCCTTCCTTCCTCGCTCCCCCGCCACGCATGTCAGAGAGAGAGAGACCTCCTTAAGTCCTTATCAGCTTGTCGGCCGCCATGTGGGCCTCCGGGCCTGCTGCGGCGGCGCGGCCGGTTGAGGCCGGGCTCGGCCCGGCCTGCGACGGCTGGCCGCCGACGAGCCGCTCGCGCTGCTCGTCAAAATGGCGGCGGTGTCGATTGCGGCGACGGTCCATTCAGTCGCTCAGCGCTCAGGCGTCTGTCGTCTGTCGTCTGTTGTCGCATTTCGCACACGCGCGCGCCGCGCGACCCGCGTCGCTCCGCGAGGGCATGAGCCTTCCGCGATTCGATCCCGCAGCCAAAAGCTGCTCGCTCGAACCGTGGCCGACTCTGCCATCGGCCATCGCGGCTGCAGCTGTTGAACTCTCCAGAAGACTGGTGCCTGATATGCTGCCTCCCTGCCTCCCTGCGGATGCTGCCGGCGAGCCTGGCGGTCCGTACTACAAGGAAGTGTTGACTCGATGCCCCCCCGCAATCTTCTACCCCCACGACTTGGAACGCGAATGTGACAGGACCATTTGTCCTTCGGCCACCAAAGCGAGATCACCTGAGAGCAGCTGAGTCTGCCTCTGGCCTCGCCTCCCTCTCCTTCAGGCATTCGTGGCATCCTATGGGTCGTCCAGAGTATCGACCTCTGGCGAGTCAGCCGCGGTCACTTGATGACCCCCATGAAGTACAGCGATCGCCACCTCGCTGGCCTCCCCGCAAGGCCTCCCGACCGCGTCGAACTCACGGCGCGGGATCTCTCGGCTACGGGACCGGCCCCAGCTTCGGCTGAGGGCTAACAAGCTGCCGAGCCCAAATCACTGTGAGAGTCGTGATTTCTTGTTGGTTTTCAAAAATCTCTCTCTGTCAGAGGCTCGGCCGAAACGAGTTATCACGGCGGCTCTTGGCTGAGGGTCTCTCTTCGGTTCGTATGCCGCAAGAAGGACGCATCATTACTCAATCTACCTCTCTCACCCTGGCCGTCCCGCTTTGATCTCTCGGTCAGGTGGGAGGCCGAGCAGCCTCAGGGTGGCGGGCGCGGGCGGGCGTGTTGAAAAACAGAAAACAGAAAACAAGAGGGGGCCCGGGGGGGGCCAGGCCCCCACTGGGAGTAGAAAATACGCCCAAGGGGGCCAAGGAGGCAAGGAGGCGGCGCGGGGCAGCAGCATCAGGTGAGAGCAGGAAGGGAGGGCGCTTAGGGTCCGCCTTTGAACAAGGGTTTCCCAGGTTTTTAAAATCAGTATTGGTGGTCCGGCAAAAATCCCCCACATTGAAGGTCAGCGGGCGCGCAATTGCCTCCTCTTCGGGGGGCTAATTTTTGGCCTGGGGGTTCCAAGCTTTGTTTTTTTTTTTTTCCGTCCCTGGGGGGGCCCCAAACCCCCCCTTAAAAAAGGGGCGCGGGGGGGGGCCCCCCCC